GGTCTTGGCCTCTTGGAGTCTCTCCGGCAGTTGTTCAAACAAAACCTACCCCAGTTAGTATACTCGCCAGCTAGGACCTTGAAGAGAGACTTACGTTGAGGGCCTCTGTGACCCTGTCGGCCGCCTGGCTCTTGGATTGCAGCTTCGAGACCATGTCTCTGCCTGCAATGGCATCTTCCAATACCTCTGCCGATCCAATCTTTTCTGGGTTCTCAATCGAGTAAAAGACGAGGGAGAGGATGGCAAAGAATTCGGTAAACAGCATAAACCAGTACGGACCGGCCAGCACGTTTTGCTTGCGGATCTCAATGCCAATGTGCACAATGTTGCGCGACACGCTGATGCAGGCTGCGGCGCAGGCGTACGAGAGCTCGTCAATGTTCTTGCCCATACTGAGGCGAGGGGAGACGTAGTGCAGAAACGGGCGGTAGAGGACCAGTTGGACGTGTGCGTAGGCAAACCGCAGCAAATGGCGCACCCTAGACATATGTTAGCCTGGATCAACTGTAATGTGGTGTCAAGAAACGCACCGAATAACCTCCACGGGGCCGTCTGGTCTCGGCCTCCACTGCGCAGGCAGGACCTCGTACCACTCTTGCAACTCGGCCTCGATCCGCTTAATGTTAGCGTAGCTAATGAGGTACGTCGCTCCCGGCTTGTCGCCCTTCATTACACTCTGGCCGAGCCCCTTCAAGGGGTAGACAAACTTGAGGATCTTGGCCAAGATCTCCATCAGGCGGGTGTGGGCGTTGAAAGCCTCAAAAAAGGAGAAGGTGCCCGGCGGTGGCGTCAGGATGCCGTCGTTTGTTATGTACTCGTCGTCAATCTCGCTGGGGTACGGCTGGTCAATGTCGTCGGCGTTGAGCATCAGCGGGAATCCGAGCATGGCCGAGACGTAGATATCCATTTGCCGAATAACCCAGAATACTCGCTTCCGCACCTCCTGCTCAATGATGGAAATCTTCTCGTGCTTCAAGTACCTGTGCAGACCTATGCGCAGGGCCGACCGAAGGGCGATTCCAACAAACGCGTAGCAGCCGCTCAGGTTCGAGGTGGCTTGCAGGAAAAGAATCATAAAGAGCAGGGCTTGCAGCGAGGTCAGGTCTCGGCACTCTGTAATGTCCTGCAAGATGCGCCTCGCGGTATCGTAATACTTCATTCTGCGGCATGTTAGTACGGTCCGGGACAGGCTTCCGGGGTTCATACCCTTCGTCGACGGACTCCTTGTAGGCCACGGGGGGCGCATTCTCGTCCAGGTTTCTGTACATGCAGCCCAGGGCCATGACGGCGTAAAGGAGGCCCAGGAACTTGTGTTCTTCCTTGGTGTAGTCGTCGTATGGCTTCTCGTAGATTCGGTCAAACATTTGGTAAAAGGTCGGTACGTGGACGATGCGGATCAGACACGTCGCGCAGTTGAGCGACAGGTAGCAGAGGCTCTTGGCCACGTCTTTCGGGGGGAGCTCCGGAGCGGTGGACATTGTCGAGTCGAACGGGGAGCTGGCTGCGGATGCTGGCGAGTCCAGGTTGATGAGGCCCGCGGGTCTGTCTGGCCGTGGGAGGAAGGGCACCTTTGTGACGGGGCCCATCATGCCTCGAAAGTGCTCCTTCATGCGTCGCAAGAAGACGGCACCGGACGAGACGCCGTGAAAGTCCCAGCCGCCCTTGTCGTCGAGGTCCAGCTGGCCAATGGACTCGATCATGGACAGAAGCTGGGGGTCCTCCTTCTCGGGAGCTACAAAGGGGTCGTGCCTGAGCTTGGCACTCTGGATCCTGCTGTGCTCTCTGTTGCGGAACTCTTGCTGGACGGCCGGATCCAGTGTCGGATCAGCCAAGTCGACGTCTGGAATAAACTTGCGCAAAAGAGTCTCTGCGCGCTGCAGGCGGCTCTCCAACGCCTCAATGTACTGGGGCGCAGGGTTCCTCCGCCGATTGGAGGGCTTGTCATAAGTGCATTCTGGGGAAATTAGTCCTTTGCACCGAGACAACAGCATCGAGGAAGGAGGCTCACCGTAGCTATAGACTGAGCAATGGGTGCAAGGCTGCTTGCCATCGCACTTGATTTTCTTGCGCCTGCACTCGTCGCACGCTCTGGTGACACGGCGACGCTTCTGCACAGGGGCGTTGGATCCAGCTTCGCCGGGCTTTTCGTCCATGTCTGAGCCAGAATGGGCACTTCCACTTGGAGAAGGCGGCTCCTTGACTGGCCAGCCATTGGCAGAAGGGGCTGCGGACTCGTTGTCTGACATGTTGCCAGAAGCGTGGGAGTCTGGAGGTGAGTTGTTGCTGTTGTTGTTGGTTGCGGCCTTGGCAGGCTGAGATGGAGGGCTCATTTTGGCAGTCGACAAAACAGGTCGCCCGTTGGAGCTGTCCTGGGGTAAGCTTCAGGAAGCTGACAATAGTTGCTGTAAGGTAGATGTTGGTGTTGGTTGTGGTTGTGGTGGTGGTGAGCACCCGGTTCTCGGTGTAAGTGCAGTTATGGAGGACGAGCTCTTTGCATATTTGATAGTACAAGGGTCGTGGTCCGATAAGCCAACCCAATCGCTAGGAACGGCTTTCGGACTGATCAAGTCTTGAACATGAGAAGAACGAAACGTGTGCCAAGACTTCGCGGGGGATGGAAGGAAGATAAGTTTAAACAAAAACGGGAAGACCAGAGAGGAGCCGGGGGATCTTTTGCCTCTTTGCTGGGCTCGTCTGGGCAGGCCGCAGCTGGGGGGGTGGAAGGGCCCTTGTTTAAGGCCGAGCAGGGTGCGGTACGAAGCAGCGGTGCAGCAGCGGTGCAGGGCCGCAGACAGAGAAAGAGGAAGAAGGTGTGTGAGAGGCCAGGGCAGGTGTGTAAGTCGCGCGGAAAGCTGAGCGCGAGGAATAGGATGGATTACGTAGCGGGTAGGTAGCGTCTCGGCCGGGGTTGGTTGAGACAGCAGAGTACACGACTCGAGGGTATAGAGAATATGGTCCCGCACGGTGTAAGGTAGTCCCGCAGTCCCAAGTCCCAGTAGCGCGGTCGAAAGATACGTATTCCACACACGGGGCAGGACGCAGGACGTGGACCACGATCTGGCGGGCAGGCGGGTAGGCCCCTGGTTGTGACGATGGTGCTGGATGGGTGGTGGATGGTGGATGGTTGATGGTGCTTCTTCTTCTTCTTCATGGTAGAGGAGGGGGTGTCTCTAGGTCACCCAAGTGAGGTCGCGGATAGGGTCAACAAGAGAGGGAACGGAGACAATACGAAACCGTCGCAAAGGGGGATGGGGAAGCTAAGACGAAAAGGCGATAGGAATCGGTACGAGGATGAGGTGGTGGTGGTGGAGGCCGAGGGGGAAGAGGAGGGGGAAAGGAAGACTCAAGAGAGAGGCATGTACACTATCCGTGGGAAGTACTCCGTACATGGACGATGAACAGGGGCGATCATAAGGCAAACCAAGTAGGCAGGCCAATAAGCCAAGATGGATCAAGGTAAGGCGAGCAGAACAACAAGAGAGAGCGAGAGAGCAGCACAACTGCAGCAGCAGCAACAACACAAAGTTCGCAACAGCATGGCTTGGGATGGCTTGGTACCCTTGGGGGGTGGGCGGAAGCATCAGAGGGACAAGACTTGGAGAGACTGAGAACTGCACCAAGAAAGGGCCCGCCGACGGGGGGCCGGGAGGGGGGGGGGGGCGTATTGGCAGGGGAGATGGATCATGGGAGGTGCAGTATGATGGCAGAAGATGGACGGCAGTCATTCTTGGGTCTACCATCTGTGACAGGCAGTGAGAGTTGCTGTAATGGGTAGAGCAACTCCGCGGAAGGTACCTTCTACTGAATGGAATCCATTGCCTATCTACCCACCTTAGTACGCAATTAGGATATGAGTAGTTGACTACGGATACCTTGGACGACAGAGCGTGTAAGAGGTGCTGTGGTTGCTCTTCGTCCGCATGTACCTTTCCGCTGGGAGGAGTGGGAGGAACGAGGATGCTGCAGCAAATGTGCGGAAAGCCAAGACGAAACAAAAACGGACGAAGAAGAGCTCGGGGTTGTGAGATTGGCGGCTGCCTTGCCTGCATGCGACAGCGACAGCGACATTTTGACTTTGGCCTCTTCAGGAGGGCATCCTGTCCTGATAGGTAGCACTTGCTCATTCAATGGGCAGTCGAGGCAGTGAAAATCAATGGTCTGAACAACTGGGCAGTAACTAACTCCCAGTCTCGATTCTCGGCTCTCGCTTCTGTCGGGATTGGTGGTGACTTGAGCGCCGCGTTCCAAGGGCCACGCTTGTTCCCGTGTTAAAAGCGCCCGTTCTAGTGGACAGCCCAATGACGAGATCCGAGTTCGCTGGGGCTTCTATCTTAAGCAACTCGGGCTAGGCAATCTTGAGTTAAAAGACGCCGGGCCACTAGTATGTGGTATCCGGTGCGTGCCATCTGTAATCAGAATGGGAAGGGTTCTTTTGCAAGAGACTCCGAACGGGACTAGGTGCTGGGCTTCTGATTGTGTTGTGAATAGAGGGTTGCGGTGGGCAAAGCATATCTCTGAGGATATTCTATGGTCTGTACGGATACCGCGCGCGAAGACCACTATGTGAGCACCGAGCACGCGCAACTGTCTCCGGTCGGCGAGTAATCAGAATATGTGCGGTAGATAGGAACAGAGTGATAGTACTGCGTGTACGGGGCGAGCGAGCGAGTCGAGTCCCTACCCGGCCCCGGTTGATTTGCTCAAAAAAGGAATTGAAAAAGGAAAAGGGCGGAGTTCCTTCGGGAAAGGAATGCAGCCCAGTTTTTTGCTCAAATGGAGATGCGTCTGGAACCGATGAGAGGGACGTGAGAATGGGCCAGTTTCCACTTGGTCGAACCGATGGTGCTACTGCATAGAATCTATATGTCAGTCAGTTGCAACTCGCAAGGCCATGCATGCTTTGCGTAGTTGGTGTTGGAGTCTTGGTATGTTGAAGAGGGGGGATGGAATACTTCGCAGAGAGAGAAGGTAAAAAAAAAAAAAAAAAAAAAAAAAAACCTATGCGGCGCCAGCGGCGTTCGTGCATGCGTTTGGATGCAGGGTGGAACCGGGGGTACGTATGCCTTTTTACCCTTTGTGTATTTTCGTTGTCTTCAAAATCTTGCCCAAGACCAACCGTTGGCTTGGATTTCCGTGCCATTCGGTCCCGTACCGCAATTACAGACCGCCACGGAATGAATCATCCCGCCCGGCCTCGTCCGGTAGATCCATCGCTTCCAGCCTCCAAGTCTGACGGTCCACCACCTGCCGCCGGTACGTGGCCGTCGTGCCCGTTCGTGCCCGTTGTGACCACAGCGTAGGCCAAGTCTTCGTAGCTGCTTGAAGACGTGGAGGTTTCAATAGACAAGGGCGCTTTGTCTTGCCTTGCCAGTCAATACTCGGTAGACCACTTCAATTGCCTGTCTTCTTTCCCCCCCCCCTCCCACGAGGGTCAGTAGCTGGAACGGGGGTGAAATTAAAGTCAGGCTCTCATCTCAGTCAACGCTGACTTATTGAACTCACACGCCAGGCCCGGGTTCTCAGTTGACGGAACACGCGGGATGCTATTGGTTCGGAGGCGCTTCCCAGGAGACCCCAGTTTGAGCTTCGACGGGGAGGACCCCCCTTATGCACTGCGGACATAGCTGCATCTAGTCCAGTCCAATGATCAATCCAGCGCGCAAAGGGAAGGGAAAAAAGAAGCTTGAGAGCCCGAGTTGTCAACAACCGCCAACCCCTACACCTGGGAGTTTGTCAGTGCTAAGGCTCATCGAAACAGTCGGTCCCGCGAGTTGGCGGAGGACGCTTCCAAGCAGGCGCTGGCACGCAGGTTCGGTTTCCAACATGTCGGGGCAAAGCCTGCTGGCTCAAACCGTCCGTGGATCTGCTAACGAGCCCGCCGCCCCGTCACCCGCGAGCCTTTCAGCCTTTAGTCCATCCCATACCATCGCATGAGAATGGCGGCGGTAGGTATGGTTACGGAGCTCAGTCATTTTGGGCAAGTGGTCCAGTCATGTCCTCTGATGGTTCGACGACAGTATCAATCTGCGATTGCCTTTTCATCTGCGACTAGTGCCCCTCCCTCGGTCCCCACTCGTAACCCGAACAGCACGCCGCAATCTTCCCGAGGTCGGGATCGAGGGTCCAATGCCTCGTTTGTGTCTGCATCGCGGTGGTGGAGACATCAGAGCGATTCCGCGATGTGTGTGTGTGTGTGTGTGTGTGTGTGTGTACGACACAACGTAGGCCACCGCCGTCGAGGCGTGTAATGTGCAAGCGAAGCAGGGGGCGGCAGAAAGAAAGCGAGCACGTTGCTGGGACTCTTGAGCGTTGGAGGGGCTTGCCAAGGGCCAAGAGGAGACGACGACGACAACAACAACGATGGCGGCGAAGGCGAGTAAACGGTCTTGACCGACGGCTCTTTGGACGAGTGTCATGAAGCAACTGGTCTGGTTTGTGTTTGTGTGGGCACATGGCTCACGCCCCTCTTGGAACACCGAGGGTTTATCGCCAGCGATTTTTGGGGGTTGATTCCCCTCCCCCCTCCCCTTGCTCTCCCTGGCGCCCCCGGAGACTCTTGGCTTTTCTTGCGGGAGCTCCGTACTTTGCACGCCTTGTACTTGGTGGCATCGCGAGATTCATTCCAGCTTGAGGCCCCCCCCCCTCTCCCCATAAGGCCGAAGTGACTGCAGACCGGTGGGATGGAAAACGCATGGAATATTCGAAAAGGGCTTCGTTTGTGGATTGCCGTCACATGGCGGACGGGACGTCGTCGAAATGGACCGCCCTACAGAGGAACAGGGCCCAGGGCTGAGGGAACGATGAGGTTCTGAAGTCTTGGCATCCGTCATTGGGGACGTGTCTGTGGTGTATTTTGACGACAAAATTTCTCTTTTGGCGGGTTAGGTGCTCTCAGATTGGCGTGGACTTTGGTCCATGGTGGGAGACCAGCAGAGTCCCTGGGGTGTGCTTGGACTGGGGGTGGGTGGTGAATGGTGAGTGGTGTGGAGGAGAGAGAGGAACCACCTCACGGTTCCACACCTCGACACCGCTGGGCTGACCGGGCTGGAAGGGAGGTGGTCCGCGGGTGAGGTGCGGGCGTGGAAGGTGCTCAGTGTGCCCAGCTCGAAGACTGGAAAAAAAAAAAAAAAAAAAAAAAGGTCGCCCACTCCCACTCCCACCAAAACGCGTCAGCCCAAGAGCGGGGGGCAGTAGGTACGGAGTACAGACGGTACAGACGGCGCATGGAAGGGGCGGCACATCAGGGAATCGGGACAGCAGGCAAGAGCTTCCTGGGTCTCAAAGTCTTGGCACGCTCGATTTCCTTCGTTTGCCAAGACTTCCACCCCGCCCCTTCGCGCTTGCGCTTGTCTTGACAACATGCATCGAATATCAGAGAGCCTCTTATGGATATCAAACAGATCTAGATACTGCCAATTGCCAGCGTTTTTCTCGCGGTTTTTTTGCTTGCAAAACTGGCCCAGGACGCCCTCGGTCGGTCGCCGACTCACAACAAGCAGACACCGCAGTCACTTGGTTGGGTCCCCCCCTTTTTTTTCCTCTCTCGCTCTCTCTTTTGCAATCCAATGGAACTTACAAACACACGCCCCCAGGAGTGAACGGATTGGCATTGGCCTGACAAAAATCAAGGAAACGGGCCACGTTACCTTAGGTTTCTTTCCCCTCGCGCGCGCGCCCTCTTGCGGTTCGCCCGTCCTCGTTATTTCCGCAAGATTTCGTGCAAGAAAGAGAGAGAGAGGAAAGACCATTCAATGCATGTGCTGGCCACTAGGAGACAAGAAGTCGAGATTAATATGGGGCGCACTGTACAGACAAGTCACAGTGCGAGCGAGGAACAAGAGGGAAGGCACACCCACACACAACACCTTCCTACCTTACCTCGCCTCAGTCAACAACACACCCCCGGCCACTTCCCAGGACGAGACAAGACGGGGAAGAAGGTGGCAGCCGGTGCAAACCACCTCACCTACACTTTCCCAGTCGGGTGTCGCCAAAAGTCGCCAAGGTACGTATCTTCACCTGCACTTCACCTCACCTCATCTCATCCCACATGGTAATAAGGTACGAATACCTTGCGAATAGAATGGTGGGAAACTTACCTACTAAGTGCCAACAGACACAGACACAGACTTAGGTAGACACAGACCATGGGCAGCCGCCCCGTCCTCGTCCCAATGTATGGCTAGCACCAATGTGCCAGAGAAAGCCACTCATCTTTGGGGTCCGACCCGTCTGCTTCATTGTCACCAGCTCATATCCTTTACCTGTCTCGTGTCTGATGTATCGGAATCGTCATCTCAGTCAGTCCAGGCTAAAAGCTATCGAGACTTTGTACGGATAGGTACACACATCAGAGTACCTGCGCAGGGGCCACCCGACCCGACCGCAACGCTGCGAATACCTATCTACATCTTCTCGGTGCTCACAAGTTACAACTCGGCCCACCAAAGAGTGACACGATAATAGCAACAGCGCCCACATCTTGGGAGCCAGGCGACCGGCTTGCGGCTTGCAAGCTGCACAGTCATGGAGTGTCTCGAGCAGGCGTTCCTGGCACAGACGCGGGCAATCCAACGTCCACCAAATCGTCCAATGTCGCTGGGCCTCGTTATGGATACCCTCATGACTCTCGACTCACATGGCACTTTTGCTCTGACACTTTCAACCTAACCTTTTCTCTCTCTCTTTCTTCTGCTCGCTATTCTTCGCAATCGTCCCGCCATGGTATCCGTCGAGCTCATAATCCATAACCTGACAGGCCCAGGGCCGAGCGCTCAAGGACGCGATCCCACACTCAATCCTATTCCTCCAGGACCCTGACCTTGCTCCGGCCCTACTAATCCCAGCTTGAACCTTGGGCCCGAACCTGGCCATTGCACCCCATCTTTTATTCCCTCTCAGTTATACGGTAGAAACAGAGAGTCCAGAATTGCCCCGACGGCATAGCCTTTGGACGCCAGACATTTTTGTCAAATCAGGGCTGTCGCCTATACAATCATACACTGGAAACTCGAGCTGAATCTGAGACTGCCATGCAGGGATCATTTGCAATTTGAGGCCCGTCAACGCAGGCCAGTCAAGATCAAGCCCATCTCTTGAGCGGAAACCAAGCTTGGATGACTCGAGGTCAACGGCATCGATTTCGAGCACCAGCGACTACAGAACCTGTCCACGTAAGATGGGCTGGCCAAGGAGCCACGGATCGTGTAGAACCACAGCCTGCAGCGCATCGCCTACAGCAAGCCCGCCGCAAGCACAACACACCTCAACGTCCCAAGTTTCCCGTCCCCTCTAGGAACAGACCTTCGGCCAACTACCGACCCCTGTATCTGGCACTGTGGGTACGTACCGGCGTTGGCCTTACCGAGCACACCTCCCACCTTAGCTCGCGGCTCAGGTGTGATGTGGTAGCTGTCCTCCTGTGGTATGCGGCGTATGCCTTGCTTGCAGCCCGTCTGCAGGCTGCTGAGCGGTTTCGATTTGGGTTCTGCTCCGAGTCCCGGCCACGATGCTGGCGGCCTGTCCCTGGCCCTTGCTGATGTAGGAATCCCGAACAAGCTGGTCCAATCCCAATGCTGCGCTGCTGGCACATCAGCATATGCTCTCCATCAATCAACCCTTTTCAAGCTCGGTCATCAAACGAATCAGTGCACCAGCGGGCCCAGGGGGCGAACGGAGCGCAGGGTGCGGGTGCCGCTTCTATGAGCAAATTGGTACGGATACGGCATACATATGAAGATGAGAGACCGACTCCCCTTAGCTTTCCCCATGTGGACTGTCTAGATAACGAGATGCTTGGTTAGAGTGAGAGGCTAAAGGTTTCTAGTCTCGGTGGACTCGAAAGCAGACCTCACAGCTATCTGCAATCTGCTTCTTGGCCCTGTCACAATCACTTGCTTCTCTTCATTCGCAAAGGAATAGAGAACACAGTCCCTGATCAATTTGATGGACCACCCATACTTCGTACAGATACATGTGTACGGAGTACGGATACCTTGGATAGAGCTCCATTTACGGACAGTTTATCGCCAAGACTTTGTCCCTTAATCCCAGTGATCGACCGACTGCCGTATCTGGCTGGCATCTACCAATCATCTGCGCACCAGGTCGGCACGATCGCCATTGTCATTTTTGGGGAATATTCTAATTTTGTTACTTTTGTCGCTGCTGCCTGCTCCTTTACATTGCATTCGGAACATACTTGAATGGGGCACTTCGACACGAGCTATTTGACCAAACTGCACTTGCACCGGCCCTGGAGCTGGGGTACCGTACCACAGTGGGTAGTGAGCAGTCGCTACCTTACCTCAAGGTACCTAACCTCTTTACTCGATTACCCCGCAAAAAACAACCAGGTCACCACCATACTGCGTACCGTTTCTCCAGTTCGAAGTTCATTTGCTAAGGTACCTACTCCGTACCTTACTCCGTACCACCCGTTGACGTCCTGCTGTTTGTCAGAGAGCTCACCGTTGCTCTCCCTCCTCCATACACCCACAGCCTTGCTCACCACCACACACACTCTCTCTCTCAGAGTAGCCCGCACACGCAGATACGCCTAGTGCGACAGACACAATACGACTGGGCTTTCTAAATCCCTCTCATCTCTGCAGAGTGCAGAGCGCAGCTGCCAGGCCAGGGCCCCCGAGTCACACACTCCCCCAACGTACAGAAAGCGGCAAGTTCCAGGAGCCGGTGAGTGTTCCACGAGTCCTTTCACTTTCCACGAGCTTCCCTTCCCGCCTGGTACCTTGCAACATGCACCGGCCCCTCTCCCCCAAATGTCACTGGGCCCCCGTCCGTCCAACGAACCGCCCAACGACTCCAAAGCACAGAGTCCAAAGTCCAAACACCTCGACCCTGCCCTGACCTGCCCGGCCAGACCAGACCAGAAAGCCCCTCATTCCCGATAATCCACGCATTCCACCATTCACCTTTTAGGCCAACTTTAACCCGCCATCGGTGACATCGGCCACCGCACCTCGCTCTCACCCGCCCGGCACACATCCCCGTACGCCGTGTCGCCTAACACCTTACATTCTTCAATTCACTCACTGCTGGCCCCTGCTGACTTATTTCGAGATCCGCCAAAATCTCGCACGGCTCCATCAACTCGAGTCGCCTGATACGATATCGCAATCTCCAGAATGGCTGCCGCTAGCGCAAACGCCAGCCTCGACTCCAACGCCCTGCTCGCCTTCTTCACCCAGATGGACGATCAGGGAGGTGTCATTGTCAGAGGTGCGTCTCCGTCATCCAAGCTGAGCCTCCTCACCTCCCTCACCTCGCTGTCTCCCCCTACACCGAAACGGGCCTATCCGATCTGTCTCAAATAGGAAGTCAGTGCCAAGACGCGCGTCCTTGCTAACGGCCGCTGTCACTCTCCAGATACCCCAAAGCTAGATCTAGATCTGTACATCCAGAACTACACAGGTACGATGTTTCCTACCACAGCCCGTCTCAACCTTGTTGCTCGTAGACTGCGCCCTGCTGCCGTTGCCGCAGTGCCACTGCCCGCACACACGCTCAGCCTCCCCGCGTCTCCGCCCCCTTTTGCCCGCGTGCCAAGGCTCCGCCGCCTTCAGGGGGGAACTGCTTCTCACCACTGCCACAGGCCGTACCCGCTTTGAACGTCTTTTCCTCATCGGCCGGACATGCGTGCCGCTCTGTGTCGACGCTCTCAAGGCTGCCGTCGCAGAGGCCAAGAAGGGTCAAGATACGCAGCGTTACCGCGATGTCGTTGAGTTGATTCAGGTCGCCGCTCCTCTGGAGCCTGAAGCCACATTCGATCAGTCGTGGGTCGAGCTCACGGACAGGGCCAATAATGCCAAAACTCACGCCCTCGAGGGCGAGTTGAAGGGTTACAAGATGAACCTGATCAAGGAGAGCATTCGGGTATGTAGAGACATTGCCATGCACAAATGCTCCAGGGCTAACTGATGCCAGATGGGAAACGAGGACCTGGGTCGTCACTTTGAAAGCATCGGCGACCTTAATAGCGCTGGCGAGGCTTACAGCCGGATGCGCCCAGACGTGAGCACATCCAAGCACATCATCGACGTTGGCAAGCACCTCGTCAATGTGACGCTGCAGCGTCGGGAATGGCCCATGGTCATTGCCAACCTGAGCAAGATCACGGGTGTCCAGAACGGCGACGAAGAAAAGGGTTTGCAACCCTACGTCAAGATCGTCCAGGGCATCGCCCTCATGGGGCTCGAGAAGTTTGACGAGGCGGCCAAAAGCTTCCTGCAGACGGATGCCGGCAAAGAGGGAGTGGACTACAGCAATATCGCGAGCCCCAACGATGTGGCAGTGTACGGTGGCCTCCTAGCTCTGGCAACCATGGACCGGAAAGAGCTCCAGGCTCGTGTTCTCGACAACCAAAACTTTAGAACGTTTTTGGAACTGGAACCTCACATCCGCAAGGCCATTTCGCTTTTTGTGAATGGCCGGTACTCGGCTTGCCTGGCCATCCTAGAGGCGTATCGCGCAGACTACCTCCTCGACATTTACCTCCAGAAGCACGTCCCGACGCTCTACTCGCAGATCCGGAGCAAGTGTATCGTGCAGTACTTTATCCCCTTCTCCTGCGTCACCTTGAGCAGCCTCGAGGATGCATTTGCCGTACCCGGCAAGCCGCTCATTGACGAGCTCGTCGCCATGATCCGGGGCGGGGTTTTGCAGGCCCGCATCAACACAATTGACAAGGTGAGTTTCCGCGGCCCCCGAAAGTGTGAAGTCGCACCGTGTGCTAACGCACGAGCCACAAGACGTTGGTCGCCGTGTCTCCGAACCCCCGAGCCACGCTGCAAAGGATGGTCCTCGACACGATCGATGCCTACGAGCGGGACGCTACGGAGCGGATCCGGCGTATGAGTATCATTGCGGCAGATATGGAGGTCAAGACCATGCGCAAGGGTAATGCCCATGCCGGTGCGCAGGGCATCGATGAGCTCTGGTTCGAGCAGTCCAACCGACCGACGGTGGCCGGCGGCGCGGGCGGCGACAACATGAGCTGATGGCCCTCCGATGCGGCGGCGACGGGCCGCGCGGTGACGGTGATACCGGCCGAGTGGTTGTGCTTGTCCGTGGGTCGGACGCGAGAGCTGCAGCACGCCGCGAGCATGCAACTGGAATGCTGACAACCGGGGCACTTTTGGTGATCCACCTTGGCGCCGTAGTCGCAAAAGCCTAAAATATTCGGGTGGTCGACTGCCAATGCAGAGGTGCAGACTGGGCGGTCTCGCGACAGGTCATTGGCTATCTCGAAAGAAAAGCATACGTACGCCTGCCAACACGTCTCTTGTGCCGTGGGATCATTCAGACGTCATGGCACTTTTGTGCTAGGTATGTCATTAGCCACTGGGATCGGGCATGGAGCTTCACGCAGCGGCTGGGACGGTGGAGCGGCTAAAGCAACAGGCGGCGGTGTTGATCGCGGGATCCCCGGGGCCGATAGATTGAGGCTTACGCAGCAGGCATAGAAATGTGTCAAGAGAATATGGTTTTCCGTCGATTGAAGCGTCTTGTCTTGTCGTGCTTGGGAATGGTCGGGAATAATGCATCCTGTCTCTTGTCTGTATCATTTATGCAAGCCACCTGATTGCACTTCGCCCGAACTGTGCCCTACGGCTAGTTGTTCTCTTCGGGCCTAACGCAGAAAGTTAAGCTTACCCTGCCGACGGATTTATGAACGATACCCGACCCTTTATATCGCCTCGGGGTCTTGGCAAAGTTGTTTCTCTACACAGTGCCAGTTCGGTTCCTCGCCTAGCTAGGTGGTCACTCACTTTCCCCTCTCGTCAAAGGATAATAGAGTACGAATACAGATACAGACTAGCAGAAGCCTTTTTTTGAGGTGTTTTTTTTTTTAAAAAAAAAAAAAAGAATCTCCAATGATCGATCACCTGGGCTCCAATTTTGTGGGCTTTCTAACTTTTCCCCCGTTCGCTAGAAATAACTCTCCTTTCGTCTACGGTACATATCCTCAGGGCAAAAGTAAGTAGGTAGTGCGTCCACCCAAATGATCACCCGAGAAAAAAAGGATACCGCAAATAAGAGCCGGTGAGTCTACAAAATGGGGCTCCAGCCGAGGAAGAGAGAAGGGAGGGGGGACAAGACCCAAGGGTCAAGCGTGACAGGGTTAGATGGGGTGGAGGGGCCCGCACGGCGCTTCTCTCTCACGCAAAAGACCAGCATTTCATCAGACAGGGTTTCCTTTTGGAGACCTTGCTCCAAATCCCTGGAGGGTGGAGAGGGGGGAGGGGAGGGTGTGTGATCAAAAAAAACTTATGGTTCAACTTTTTTCTTTCTTTATGATGGGTTTTAGTAGCATTATCCTCTTTTTTGCTGCTGCTCCTTCACGTACCTAGCCTGCATCAGGCAGTTCGTAGGTTTTCCCTCAAGCAGTTCGTTCCCCCCTTGTCTTTCTGTTGCTGGGGGGTGTGGTTCTTTCTAGCCCCCCTCCTTACCTAGTCCTCTCCCCCCCCCCCCTCCCCATATCCGACATCGTCAACGATGCATGGATCATTTTGGATCCATCATCCACCTAGGCGAGCCAGGCACAGACAGCATGGCCCATAATCGCGCTTCGCTTTCGCCTTGCAGACGGTTTCTGGTGCGCCCCTCCCCTCTCTCTTTCTCTCCGAGGTATACTCCGTGTGGTGGAATTAGTTCCCGATGAACCGGGAGTAAAATGCATCCGCTAGAAATGGAAAAGAGACGTATGAGCAAGATAGTAACGATGGGCATGATGTTGGCTCCAGAAGTGACGAGAAGAGAGGGGAGAGGATGTAGCAGTAAGGGGGGGTAGAGGGAAGGGGGCATGGCATGCGACTTTGCCCAGTTTCCGTTGTCCCACCCTCAACCACCGTTCGAGTTCCATCCGGATTCGCGATCCGGGACACGCCCAGGAGTCTCGAAAAGAGTTTTTTTTTTTTTTTTTTTTCCCCTTGTCGTCTCCGTCTCGGTCTCTCCATCTGGGGCCACCCTTCGTCCTCGGGGGGAACTAGATGGCAGGGCGCAATTGACACCAAACGGAGTGACTCGGCGATCGTGATGTATTCGTAATCCACGTAATCCTCGGGCGCGCGCGCGCACAGTAATGCGCAAAGAATCATCCCATCAACTGCCGGACGTCGGTGGGCGGCCAGCGGACCTGCGCAAAGGTGAGGAGACGCTTGATGCTCTGCAGGTACTTGCGCGTGACCTCGTCGCCCATGACGTGCCCGCGCTCGCCGTCGTGCAGCTTCTCGCGGGCGCTGCGCTCGTGGATGCCGACCATGGTGACGCCGATGGGCCAGGCGGCTTTGCCGATGGAGAGGCGGAGGTAGCCGTCGTTTGCGTCGACGTAGCGGCGTTCCTGTGCGGCTTTGACGATTTCGATAATGGGCGCGAGGAGGTCGTCGTCGAGGTCGTACTTTTCGAACTTGCGGAAGAGCTGTCACGATAGTTTAGTCCATGCTTGTCTGATGAACGTATGTGTGTGCGTGCGTGGGAACATACCGGCTTGAGGTTTTCGCGGCTCTGAACCATGGCGCTGTACGCCGTCTTGCTCGCCGTTGTGTCGCGTCGTTCCGCCTCCATTGCCTTTTCGTACTCGGCCAGGACCATGGTGAAGTAGGAAGCCAGCTGGCGGAACAGCCACCGCCGACCTTCCTTGTCCTTGGGCACGGCCGCGTCCACCTTCATGTCCTTCTCCTCCACGAGCTGCAGCGTCGTCGGGATAGGGCCCTTTGTCACCACCGTCGTGAGCCGCCTGTACCGCCTCAGCCTCGCGCCGTGGCCCTCGCCAAAGAGCGTCGCCGGCTCGCCCAGCGCGCGCAGCTTCTCCGCGAGCTGTCCGTCGGGGATGTCCTCCATGCCCTCTTCGACGGCGGCATCGTCGTCGTCTTCGGCCGTGGCCTTGACGAGCTCGGGCAGCCCCAGCCGCTTCCGCCGCGCGCGTTCTTCCTCGGCTTCTTTTTCCTCGCGCCGCAGCCGTGACTCCTCGGCGAGCTTTTGTCGCTTCTCCTCGCGGATCTTGTTCTCTGCCGCGTCGTCTTCTTCGCGCTTGCGTTTCGCGGCGGCCTTGGCTTCCCGCTCGGCCTCGACGCGGGCTTGTTCTGCCAGGTAGTCTTCCCTGCGCTTCGCTTCGACGTCGGCTCGTTTGATGTATTTCGATGACGAGGAGGCTGCTGCTGCTGTGGAAGTGGGCTTCTTGGACTTGTCCAGCTCCTTGGACATGAGGGCTGCAAAGTCCATTTTGGCGTCGATTTGCTGTCCCTGTAGCTGACTGAGGTGTCTCGTGTGTCTCGGGTGGGTCCGTTCGGTCGTGGGTATCACCAGTCTTCCCTCGTGTGTTGTCCAAGAGCAGAACTCGCCTCCACGTCGATGAGATGTCGTCAAACGAGAACGGTAGAAAACCGGATAGAGCGTTGCCGGATTGACAATTAAAAAAAGCTTAGTTTTCGGGAACGGCGCCCTACGTGTGGTGGACGATCCATGCATGGAAGCTTTGGAAGATCGCGCTTAACTTGCACAGCCTCACTCGCCTACGACCTTGACTCCAGTCGGGAGGGACGCACGCCCGCACCTCTTCGTCCGCGCACACCACGACCACTCACACACCGCAATACGTACTCTCACACTCTTCTTACACACACAAATGCACGCGGCAACTGCAGCAGTTTTGAACTAGTTCCCGCTTCCCTCCTCTTTTTTCTAAACCCCCGTTTGATTCCCTTTTTGGGGGCCTAAAAAGGTGCTTGTTTGTACCTGTTCGTCGCAAGGGGACCTGGGGGCCTGGAGCTTGTCAAAAAGGAACCATCGAGCTTGTTTTCACTACGAATACTCCACACAGGCGAGTATACGTATACGTACTCCCCGACGTCGTCTCTTCTTCCCATCGAAGCGCGGGTTGGCTATACTTGGCGGTCTTCGGCATGGCTTCCCATCAGCGGGAGGATACTACGCCATTCCTTCTGCAGCTTTTCTACAAGGACGGGTCATTTCACAGGTACGTCGACTCTGCCTGACGCCTAGTACTATTCTCGACGCTGACAGACCCATATAGAACAGACGAGTTCGCCTCGAGGAGCCTTCCGCCCTTCCTATCACTCTACACATGGCCCGACTGTACCTTGGACGAGCTCGCCGAGCTTATCACAGCTGAAGACCCGGCGCTGCTACCGAGCCCTTGCGTGGGCACGAGGCTCGCCTTCCGCCTCATCTACCCCGATACCCGGAACGCAGCAGCCAACGCGGGAGGGCACCATCACCACGGACAAGCGCAGGGGCCAAGGTTCATGGTCAAGGACCTAGGGAGCGTGGTGCTCGGGGACGGCACGGCAGAGGCGCTCCTGGCCGCCGATGGCGAGGGAGAGGGGGAGGGGGAGGGGGCAGACGACGTCGACATGTCCGGCGCCGGCGCCAAGCAACCCGACGACGCTGACTCGGCCAAGGACAAGACGCTCAAGGAGGTCAATTTCGTGGTCGGAGATTACGTCTCGTGCGCCATACTGCCGCCGCTGCCGGACGGCTCGGTGGCGCCGGCCCTCACTGCGCGAAATGATAGGGCAGCGGGGCAGTTTGGCGGTGCAAGAGGCCCGATGGGCGGTCCGCCGTCGCAGGGGCCGCGCCGGGACGCTGGGTTCGGGGGAAGGCAGAGCTGGGACAGAGACCGGCGGCGCTCTGGGTTCGGAGATGGTGGATTCCCCGAGGGGGAGTGGCGGAGGGGCGAGAGGCTGCCCGATGATCCACCAGACCGGTCTCGGGGTAGAGGTAGACGACCCGATAGGTGGTGATTCGACTTGTAGTCGTGGTTCCAGGTACTTGGGTTTGTAATTACGCACGGCGTTATGGCTCGTTTGGAAGGTATACCAGGCGGCGTTATGATCACTTGCAAGCGTCGTTCTTCCACGTCTGCTTGCTATCAAGGCATTGCCTTGCTTCAAAAGTTGGCGAAATTCGTGACTGCATCGAAAGCAGTACAGACATCTTGCGATCGTCATGGTGCACAGGAGAAAAGTACTTGTTCGATGTTCTCATTCCTCTACTCCGGGTCACGGTCCCGGGCCTATCTACACAATTCTCCCCCTCGATATCGTGCCCCGTCTATCGCTCGTAAACCAGGTCGCCCTTGCGCTTCGCGCGGAGGTCCCAGAGACCCTATAGATCGGTCAGTTTATGTACTTCCGGCGGTCCGAAGGGGGTACG